GCTTCTAGCTAAACAAATTAAGACTGGCCGCCAGAACCGTCAGGAAACACTCCTTTAAAATTTCAGTCTTCTAGCTTTCCTGGCTCCTGAGTTAGCAGCTTACTGGAAAAAACTTTCACAGGCCCGTACATGGGTACCACGCATACCGATGTCTGGGTTTGAGCATGCTGAGAGTTACGTGGACGGGGAACATCCTCTTGAAATTATAGTCTTCTAGCTTTCAGCTTCTCGAGTTAGCAGCTTACCCGAAAAAACTTTGGTAAGCCCGTGCGTGGGTTCCACGCATACCCGATGGCTGGATTTGGACTCTTCACTACCTGCTTGGGCGGGAAACACTCCCCTGAAATTCCAGTCTTTTAGCTTTTCAGGTGCTTGAGTTAGCAACCTACCCGAAAAAACTTTGGCGGGCCCGTACGTGGGTACCACGCATACCCGGGGATTGGTCTGAGACTTATTAAGACATACGTGGACAGGGAATGTCCCCGTAAAATTTCAGCTTTCTAGTTTTTCTGATTCCCGAGTTAGCGACTTACCCGGAAAAAATTATGGCTGGCCCGTACGTGGGCACCACGCATACCCGAGGGCTGGATTTGAGCTCATTGAGACCTACGTGGACAGGAAGCAACCCCTTAAAATTTCAGCTTCCTAGCTTTTCTGGTTCGCCAGTTAGCGACTTACCCGCAAAAAACTTTCGCGGGCCCGTACGTGAGTACCACGCGGGTAGGGCCGCCCATTTTGGTGATCGGGACCCGTACATGTTTATAGATTAAGTTGGCAAAGTTTCAGCCCTGTAGCTTTTGTAGGTCTCGAGATGAAAAATCGGTACAGAGGTCCAGTGCACACACAGACAACCTCTCGTCAATATGCGTTTTTTGCATTGCATGGCTGCAAAAACACATTATAAATAGCAGCGCGCACCAGAATAACTGGTGCGATCATGCATTTTTTGCAATTCCGTCCACTGGACGATTGCCTGTTAATGATTTTTACTGCTTTGTACTTTTTTCTGTGCAAGAATAGTTGCAATGTTGAAAAATAGTTAAAAATTTCACGAACCGATATGTAAAAGGTGAATTTGAAACCTCGAAGGGTGAATATTTTTCCAAAATTTCAATCTCCTAATTTTCTGGCTTTCCAATTATCTTTAAGACAAAACTTTCACATTGTCGTACGTGAGATCTCGGCATACTTAGCAGCTGAATTCGAGTTTTTGAAGCCCCTGCTTAGATAGGAAACATTCTGCTGAAATTCTCACCCTCCTAAATCTTCTGTCTTCCGATATAATGGTCTTTGTCGCTAAAACTTTCCACGGAAACGTTGAAAATTTGCGGAGTTGTACGAGGGCAGTGGATGCCACGCTAAAATTTCAGCTTCCTAGCTTTTGCAGTTTACGAGACAATTTCCCTGCCAAAACTCACGGAAACGTACATGGCACCCGGGAGTGCATGAAGGCTGAATCCGAATTTGCGGGAGTCATACGTTGATAGAGCACATCACCATAAAATTTCAGATTCCCACTTTCGTGGTTCCCGAGGTAATAATTTACCCGTCAAAATTTTCATGGGGCCGTAGGTGATACCCGAGAGCGCGGGAACGCTGAGTTTGAATTTGTGAGGTTGTACGTAGGCAGGGGGTCATTATGCTAAAATTCCGGCTTCCTAGATTCTCGAGGTAATAATCTGTCCGGCATGTTACCTGCGGGCAGAGAAGGCTGAATTTAAATATGAGAGATCGCACGTGGGTAGGGGACATGCCCACAGAATTTCAGCCTCCTAGCTTTCGTGATCCCCGTATAATGACTTTACCCGCCAAAACTTTTACGGAGCCGTACGTGTTACTCGCGGGTGTGGGGAGGCTGAATTTAAATTTTTTGGATGGGGGACGTTCCTCTAAATTTTCAGCTTCCTAGCTTTTGTGGTTCACGAGTTGAAAGTTGCGGACATGTTGCGGTGGACACACACACATACATACAAACATATACACAGACAACCTCGTAACAATATGCATTTTGTACTGCTGTTACACGGCACAAAACGCATAAAAACTAGAGGGGCACTAGAGTCTTCTAAATGGAACAGTAACTGAAGTGCACTGGGCGCATATTATAGAAAGGTTCGCATTCGTTAAATTTGGTCATATTGGTCAAATTGGATAAAAATACGATCAAAAAACACCATTGGATGCTACAGGATGTTAACTTTGAGACATATTTTTTTATCAGAACTTAGGTACAACGCCAAATGGGAAGTATTTGTAAAGGAGAAAAAAACGTGCTGTTCCCAGCTGATGTTTGTTAATGGTCGTCTTCGAACAATTTTTTTTTAAAATTTTCCAGGTAACGGATGATTCCGAAATGGCACTTTCGCTGGCAGCTAGCTTGTCGCGTTGCGGCACTTTCAGTGCTCCTGACATTGCTTGTAGCTACGTGTATTGGATCCAATCTTCACCACCTGATGTCGGAGTGTCTACGAGAAATGCACTGTCCATAGGTATATGTGCACATTTATTCAGTGGTGGTTGTTTTTTATATGAGGTATGTTGTTAGCTCTGATTGGTTTCCCCAGCCAGTCTCTCGAGTTTAGTTCCACTCTACCAGGTGGTGTTCTTTCCTGATTTTGCTTTGATCCCTTTCCTTTATAATTTATTATTTTTATTTTCCATAATTTAGGTTACGTTTGTCACTTCCTACCAGCCAGTTTTGGCGAACATTTTGCCGAGTCTTGTTTCTCTGCGGTTGAATTCAGTCTCTATGAATACACATTTATCTTTTTTTTTTGCATCATGCACTGATGAATCTACGCAAAATAGCTTAAGCATAGTCACCTTCCCACTGAGTATACTTTGAGTGGAAGAACTGTATCTGCTTTATTTAGTGTTATTATTCTCACTCTATAAACGAAACGATGAAATAAAAGAGGACCGAAATATAGGAGGCAGAGGGAGACGGGGTAGCTTGTTAAAAGCTAATCGGCTTCTAAAAAATTTGGTTTCAGTTGGCTAACTTATGCAGAATTCGATTCGTTGTCATAAAGTGGTCACTGCCATTTAAAAGCTACTTCAGCTTAGCCATGATTTTCATCCCAAGCGAATTATGCCACTTATTCGTTTGCGGGTTTAGAAGAGAAGAACGAACGAAATACTGAGTTGTAAAACCAAGTGAAACAGCAGTTGATATGACGAAATTTGATTTTTACAGCATTCTGGTCTGCGCATGCTGCGTACCGCTGCTTAGCTTAATCACGTTGTAAAGAGGCTTGCTCGAACAACATGCAGTAAAAAGCAGTTGTGCGAAGTGGCTTTGCTAGGTGTTCTGCTTAGTCAAGTTTTTTTTGATTACTTTCACAGAGATCCTTCACTGTTTGTTTATAGGTAGGCAGCTGCCAGTGGATTGGCATTTGAAGTACACTGATAAAGAGAAAGAATCTGTCCATCAGGAAGTGCTGTCAAACGTGAAACAACTTAATTATGGTAGTTTAAGTAATGGTTGCCTGATGCGTATTTCTCCGCTTGCTATCTTTTCTCTTAACGCACCGATAGAGAGGTAATGATTTGCAGAAAAGAGTGGTTGATGAGTATATCGAAAAAAAAAAAAAATTTTTTTTTCTTTTTGTGTGGAATATCAGTTTCAAATGTAGAAGTTGGAGATTGCATAAGATGTTTTCGCAGTGGCGATGATGGTTCAAACGTCCTTGGTGGGGAGCAGCGTTTTATTACCAAATTGATAGTGGCGTACATGGCAGTCTGTACATGAGTTTACTGTTTCTTCATTGCCATTCATGAAATTATGATAATAATGAAAGTTGTGGGAGCAAAAACTAAGAGGCAAAAGAATTCTCAAAGCTAAAGTCCAGTAAATGTTTTGTGGGAGCGGCTGCAGAGTATTCAGTGACTTTTCTGGCATAGTGCTGTGAGACCAACATCGAGATTTGCTCTGCAGATGTTCCTGGTTGGAGTAAGTGAATAACGCACAAGTTCCAGATCTCTGGTCCCCGAGTGATGTCCCAGATTTCAATCAATTTAGAGTCCGGGAAATGGTACATGCCGACTGTTCGCTTACTCATTGCGAAGAAGATTGTGTAGAAGCTGTGTTTTCTTATGTTATGGCTATCCGAGAACTACTTAATGGAAAAAATGGAGCGGTATGTTGCAGTAGTAATACAGTGTAAAATTACATGCTTTATAAAATTACCAAGTGTACCAAGACCGCCCAAACAGTCGACGTGGGGGTCCGATATTAATAGTTTCTGGAATGCACCCATACGCTGTCCAACTGTGCAGAGATTTCCGAATTTGAGAGGACTGAAAGCCTGCGTATGACATATGAAATATCATTTTGGTCGGCATATGACTGCACTTTAGGAGGGTTGCAGACTAACGTAAATCTCGAGCTTTGTTGGCGTCTTCAAAATTTTGACCTCCAAGGGCCATATCTACTTTTATATATTATTTTTTTTTTAAAACAACGAACGGGTACAGGTCGCTAACGAAAATGTAAAAGTGGTGTGACGGAGAGCAAAATGAGAATCGGTTATAGAAGAAATAAATGGCAACGCGCACCAGACTAGCCGGTGCGATCATGCGTTTTGTGCAATTCAGCCC